GTTTTTGCTATGCACAACCAATCTGTTTAACAAATTGTCATCTGCAATGTTTGTGGAAGAAATAATAATAATATATCTCACACATCTCACACACGGTCCCAATCTAGGCAGAGCCTGTACTATGATAACCAGACTGCTGATAAACTATATACCTATAATATATATACTATACTTATATATTGTTAAATACATACATATTATTGATAAATTACACTCAGACACAGAACAAATGACCGTGCTCATCACACAACATTTGTCCTGGGTGGGAATCGATCTCACGACCTCCAGTTTAGCAGTCGGTTCACTGACTACTTGACCAACAGACCCGTCCAACCATCCAAAAAAGGTCAATGTAATAACCGATGCAGTAAATATAATATACATCTTTAAATAACTTGTACCTTGGTGGTACAGCTATTTTTTATATGATAAAATAACACCTATTTGGTTTGAACAAATTTATCAAAATTAAAGACGCATAGGAAAATAATATTCCATTTTGGTTTTAATTTTATATTTCATATTTCCTTTTTTTTTAATATCAGCGACAGCAGAAACTGACGGACATTCACGACTGATGCTAAATATAGTGAATTGTGACTCCTTTAACGAGGTAAACTGATTGTATTTCTTTCTCCTTTTAAATCCAAACGACCAACTTAATAAAACTATGAATTTCTTACAGTCATGCTAAGTCTGCTAGTAATATATGAACCTGAAGATATTAGCATATTGCTATTTATTTTAGTAAATTAACCATTTCAAAAAAGATCTGCTGTACACAAAAAAAAATATTATTTGATATTATGAAATATCGAATAACTTAAGTTTATGTATTAAAGTAAAAATTAAGTAAATTTTAAAAATTCGATTTACCTAGAATCGGTTATTTGGCAGGCCGTTATCGCGGCGGTAAGATCCTTTATGAAGGCTCGAGAGGCATCACGGAACCCGAGGCGGCATCCGACATAACCACCGGTGGGTGGTATCCAAGGATTTCCGCACAGAAAAAAAAAGGTGAATCGGTTATGTCAAAGTCGTGTTACACAATAGATACGTTTAAGTTATAGGCTAAGGAAATAAATTAAGATCTTGAAATACAGTCGACCATATAAAGAAAAAAAAAAATACTTAGACCACGATTTAGACTGTTTTCTTTCAGGCTGGATTTAAATGCAATGGATGCAATGAAGCTGTCGCTTGTTCAGAATAAAATCAGATCGGATGGTACGGAATCTGCGCTATCACAAAAGATAATTAAATGGCGTCCCTAAAAAAAATATGTATAATTGTTATCTTTTCCGAGTTATTGTGTAAGTAGCCAATAAAATGTATTGTTAATTTATAGTACTTTGTTTCGTTTAGTGATTAAAGATTTTCTGTTCAAATATAATGTGTACAATGCTCATCGCAGCTGCTACAATACTGGTGTCTAGGATAAAGGAATTTTCTATATTCCATGATCACAGATTCAGCAATAAAGAACGATCAAAAGCAAAATACATTCAATTAACACCCGGCTAAACTAGTTTACATGTGTACTCAAACATAATACAACATATTCTGCAGGACGGAGCTGTAAAATATGTTTATCGCTCCGTCCTCTTCTTTGTGGAGTGAAGTTCAGCAGAATGAGGAACTCAAAGATATTATTTATTTATTATTTGTCCTTCTACAAAAAATATATGTGAATGGTTCGTCAACTGGCTCAACTTGCTTCCGTCTATATAATCAGATCAACTACAGGATTTCCTTGTAGTGTCATTAGAGGTATTATACATATGTACCTCTACATACCTACGTATCTGCGCCTAGCTTTAACAAAATCTATTCACAGGGGAAATCACTAAAGAATGATGATGAATCCTTCATTCCTAAAAACAAATATATGGATTGGCTTAAGAACCTCCTCCGTTTTTTCACATAAAATTATTTTAAAGCTTTTTATGAAAGATATTTCTTATTTACAGTGACATTCAAAAGTAGAAGAACATTATATCTCAGTGACAATCCATACTAATATTATATATAGTGTATGTCTGTCTATTACATCTTCACGCTTAAACCGCTGAACCGATTCAGATGGAATTCGGTATAGAGATGGTCCGAGTCCCGGGAAAGGACAGAAGGTAGTTTTTATCCAATAAATTATCCTTTAAGGGAGTGTGGAATTTTTTATTTTGCATCAATAACCGCTGAACCGATTTAGATAAAATTTAGTATAGACATACTTTGATTCTTAAGGAAAGACATAGGCTACTTTTAGGCTAGGCGGAAAAAAGCTAGTTACTAATAAACACTATCTACCTATATCAGCGAGTACTACGAGCCTCAGAAAACGGGTGTTCAGCAATTCCTTTTGTTGATTTTCCCTGAGTAAGTGAAGTTACCCAAGATGAAACCCCCTCCATCCCCCCTCTGATGTGGGTCGGCAACTCACTTGTGACTCACGAGTTACTTATGTCATTGGCGGCGGCAGTCACTTACCATCAGGTGACCAGTTTGATCCTATCTCTCCCTATACCATAAAAAAAAGTAACAATCACCCCCTTTTAAAAATATTTTAATATACTGGAAAGAAATGTATAATAGTATACTTCCACACATTTCTAGAACATACAATCAAGTGAAAAACAAAACGTATTAGGAAGTATCGTTATTGAAAATTGTTTAAATATTTCGAAATACAGAGACTAAAACCTACGCTCTACACCCTCTAAACCAAATCTAATTCCTCTGCCTCCGGCGGATAGTCGAACTTCGTTGTAATAACATCGCCATTGAATTGCAAAGCACAATAGAAAATCATAAGAGATGAATTCTATTGATATGGATGGGATCACTTAATTTACGTATATCGAAAAGCTTGTATTTTTTTTTGTATTGAAGGACACTGATGATAAAACAAATCATCTATTTTCTTATTTATTATACAAAAATGAATTAAAATGTCAACTCAATTTATAAATATATATTTCACTCATTTTGTTTTTAAATTTACTTTACATTAATGAATTACGTTTTCTCTTTTGTTGATGACATTTTTCTGATGAAATAAAAGATAGAAGAAAACAGTTTTTATTCACAAAACAATTTTTATTCTATTTCTAGGTAATCAACAAAATAAAATGCCTTAGGTCTCATCTAGATGGTTCCCATACCCCATCTACATGCATCTTATGTTTAGTAATTAATTTAGTTCCGCTTATGTTATAGGATCGGGGTAACCATAAACTATGACAGTAAACTGGAATCACCGGAATGAACAATCTTTTGGAATGAAATTGTGTTTTGTGAAATTGTTGTTTGTGTTTTGTTCATTACCTCACGTAACAATATACGTACCTAATACATAAATTATACGAGTTAATTTCGAGTTCCTATAAGTAAAATTTAAATTAATTTCATCAATTCGTCAAATCAATTAAGTCAAATTTTAACTTTGATCATGGAAAAGCTTTTTTGCACATGAAAATATTAACTTGTGAAGCACTATCACAAAGATATACATAAAAACATGTGCTTGGATTAACTAAATAAGGGAGGAAACAAAGAAATGTCTTGACAAGAATTCAGAAAGTAGCTCAGCATTATAAGCATTAAATTACGAAAAGACTACTTTACTAATTTTACAACTGATAGATGCTTTAGCAACTGAAAGCATGTTCATATTGACAAATATGTTAGGTTTAGTAATAGACAACTAGTTAGTATACATTTTACAGAAATCAATGTATTTCACAACAATGTATTGCAACGTAGAGACGAGGTATTTACTTATAGTTTGTTACCAGACACCCTGTGCTAAAGTACGGCAGTTGTTTTCAATTAAACCGTTTCAAACACCTAGAACATCGAGATTTATAGAAAACTCATGTCAACTTCTATAGGCACTGGAACATATAAAGTAACAACTAGAAAACAATAAACAATTCATAGTCGAACGGAGCTGTCGTGGCTTTGAAAGCAAACGATTTTCTATTTTCTGTTCGTGATTTATGAGAATACGTTGCGATAGAAATATAAGGTGAAACGTCAAGCCGCAATGAACACAATCAAATTGAGATATTATTTCCTTTGTGTTATACGTATGTATTCCGTATGTAATAGTTTTGCTCGATTAATTATATAAAACCTCCATATGTTTATTATATCTATACACTGTTATAAAGACTGAAAAAGAAACTAGTAACAAATTTCTTTTATAAACCATGGTGCTTTAGAATTTCGATTAAGGTATTCCAACCTTTTCCTAATCAATTAACTTCTACTAAATATGAAATAGCTACTTCGGTGAATATAATCTTAAGAAAGGAGAAGTTTGTATTGTCAGTTTAATACAAATGTTATAGTCATATTACTTTAGTACAGTTACTTACTGTTATGTATATAACATACCAATATGTACAACAAAAGGGGATATGACATGTTCTATCATCTGTTCATCAGTCTCTCACGTTGATCACGTTTAATTATGGAAATTTGTCACGACTTCACGAGTCACAATCTTAAAATCTATTGTCGTATAGGTGTGTACTTATTGTGTAACAGATAAAAACTGATTTAATATCTCTTAGAAATGCCACTAGCTATGAAAATAGATCTTGTGATTGTTTACAGAAAACAGTGATGCCAGGGCTGCTATTTTCGGCTACTTTAACGTTGAAACATTTAAGACTACATTACATTCAATACAAAAATATCGGTTTGTTGCTATTTTATTAGTTTCTTATAAAGTCCTATGATTAAAGTATTTCGAAAGTGATAGTTCTCTTCTGTAACGCCTCTTCTGTAAGCATACTAAATAAGTTGAAATTTGAACAAATCAACTCAAATTAACACATCTTAGTTATCAAACAATAAAATTTTATTTGATAACCCTATTACTACAAATATGATCATTACCATATTTATTGTATATAAAACATATATAAGTTCAGTAACAGACCATTTCCAATATCTTCTTGAGCTGGAGAACATAGGAAGCTAAATTAACTAAAATGGCGAACCTTAAAATTTTCGTGTTCCTGTTTGTTGTCATGGTAAGATAAACAGTTGGTTATTTAAACTGTTGAAATATTAAACTTGATTAAAACTCAACAGTACAAATATTTTGTTGAAGGTATCATCGTCAATTATATTAGCACAAGAATCACCTGAGTCTTTGAGTTCTGAACCAGGTAGCCCTCAAAATGCACCCACCACACAAGCACCATTTGGCTCCGGAATATTTAACCATTTCCCCTTAAAGCCTCCTAGTTTCGACTTGCATGCACTATGGCCTCATTTTGCCGCTACTGGGTTTGCCCCACGTCACAAAAGGGCTATTAAGGAGGATTCAGAAATAGAGGATCATCCCAGAGCAAAGCGGAGAGTGATTACTTGTAACTTATTTACCCAGGTTTGTAACTGATTTTTTTTCACACAGTATGATTTGCACAAAAGAAAAAAATATAATAGACACATTCCCGGATCTCACGATTCATTGACGAAATTTAATTTGTGTGCGTAAGGCTCACAATTTCATTGAAATAGTTGTATTACAGTCAGGAGAAGAGGTAAACAAATTAAGTGTAACAACATATTTCATTATTTACCTAGGGAAAACGTAGCTGTGTTCCTGTAAATACACAAGGCTATCAAAATTAAAAATTATGAGGTTTAAATAAAACTGCATAAGACATTAATACATATTAATTTCGATATCATCATTATCATCAACAGCTCTTAGTAGTCCACTGCTGGACATAGGTCTCTCCTTAGAAAGGAAGTTTTGGCCTACTATACCACCTGGCCAGACAGGTTGGTATTAGATTAGTTTCAAGTTTTTCTTCTCTTTGCAGTACTTAGTCTGCTCTTACGACACCCTCTTGATGAACGGGACGGGGTGGTGATACTCCGTATTCTTTAAAGAATGAAGGAAGGAAGATCGATACGGAAAATTGATATATTTAACATTTATTGACTTTTTAACATTTATCATAAAATTTTAAAATGTCTTATTTTTCTCACATATTTTTCTTTTTTAAGGGTGGTTTCAGATGCACGAGTTGCAATAGTGTTCGACGTTGTTATCCATTTCACTTGGGCACGATCACGACGTGCGGCGGCAACTTTACTTATTGCAAGAATGGGGTATGCTCATCAATCAAAGGATCTTTGTGCTCTTCAATATCATCAACATCTACATCTACCACTACTCCGGCTTCAACCACAAGTGCAAACTCGACTAGCAGCGGATAATAAAAAACCAGAAGTAAGAGTTATCCTCTAAGAATCCGCCTAGTAACTCTTGAATCTATTACAGAAATTTCTTTACATCAGATTACATAAAATATATAACATTTTTTTCTAAATTAAGTTCGTTTGCCATGAAATCTGGCCAGAGTTAAAATGTTGAGCTGTGATTTACTGACTAAAATGACACCTATTCTTTCGATTCATAAATTCTTACTCTTAGTCTTAACCCCAAGTTTAGCGAGGTATGTCAGGGTACTATGGGTTTCCTTTCTAGGGTACACCTTCACTTCTAGGCTACTAGTACCCGAGACGGTGTGCGGTTTTTGGTCAGTTCGAGTCCGACATAGCCACCAGTCGGTGATATACAAGGGGATTTCCGCACAAAAAAAAGGTAGTCGTACAAAGTAAAGTACATACATCATACACATGAAGTGTAAGAATGGGATAAGCTAAACGACAGGGTAAACTTAAAGGCGGAAAAAGAGAAAGTTATGGTCAAGTATTTAAAACTTTCAAAACTGATAAACAATATATGCCATAAGTCTTATATATATATATATATATATATAACGATAATTTATTAGTAACATAATACCAAATTATCTACTCGTTCTTTGTATGAAACTCGTCCTGCTATGACTTAAAGTCCTCTTTCTAACTACTTAATTTCCTTTAAACCTATTAAAGCATTTTTAGCTGCTTACAGTAATGCTAATTTAACAATATTTCTATTTTTTCAGATCGAGTCCAACCGAAAGCCTTTTTACATTCTTTGGCACGCGATTCTAGAAATTTCTTTACTGTATATTTAATTATTAATCTTCTAGTATCTAATAAAGTATTTTTAAATGGCTCATACTTGCTTTCACTATTATTTACCAGTAGCACTGCGGCTCGCCCAAAAAATAAGGTTAACAATCCCAACATTATTTTTCTCCAAGTTTAACTCTTTTTTATAGTATAGGGATGTAAAAAAGGGTCAACTGATGGTAAGTAACTACCGCCACCGATAAACACCTGCAACTTAAGAGTCACAAGTGTGTTGATGCCCTTTGAGTCAAGAATCAGGTCTATTTGCGCCGTAGCATGGCTCTCCTACGATTTACTGATTTAACTATACGGGCCAAAATAAAATAATAATAATATTGGTTAGGCTAACCTTGTTTATTGAAAACAAACAGAAACATAAAGAAACATGCCTCAGCAGGCGCGACTCAATCAGCGTTCACTGTAATAACTCGTTTGTGTCGAAACACCGTTTAGTTTTAGCCAGTTCGAGTCCAACAACAACTTCTGCTCTCTGCTCCAGTAAAGTATGCTCCACTCACAGTGGTGAAAGATAAGGTATGCAGGATTTTTTTAAGGTTCCTTAATATTGATTGTTACATTTTGTCCAAATAACGTAATCTTAGTACAAAAATGTATATGTGTTGTTTTGATATATTAGCTATATTCGTGTACAGCTTTATCAATATTATTTAACAGTTCTTACGTGAAAGAACGAAAAACATTTATCGATCCTAACAAACGTTCAAATATTAGAAGAATTGCCTTTTTATAATTAATGCAACTTAGGGTCGAGTGCATAGTCATCATTATAATAAACCCATATCTTTTAAACCATTAGAAATAAAACAATTATTGGCACGGTTTTCTTTATTTAAATTAACACAATACTAAGTTTAATTAATATGAATATTCGTTTTAAAAATATTTTAATTGATATAAGATTAAATGTGAAGAATAAAATCTACTTGCTAGAATATATTATTTAAAAAAAATGTTATTATCATGTTGTTTTGTCAAATTTATTGTCTAATTTCATGATATTTATTTAAAGGAGGGCGTTCAAGCGACTTTTGGTACTGTGACTTGCATTGTGAAGCCGGTACATATAAAAACGTTTAACGTTACATAACGTTACATTTACCAGAAAGTGACGTCACAATAACCGTTATATGTCACCCGTACAAGCCCTTCTTTAAAGAGACAGAAATATTTCACTATAATTTTTTTAACTAATTCATGCTAAGATAATACATTGATCCTTTCTTTTTAAAGCTCAAGCTTGATAGTAAATAACTGTCTAAGATATTTTTAAATTTATTTGTCAAACACAGCTCGTCGAGTACCTATGATAAATAGGTCATATGTATTTTTTTTCAAATAAGTTACACTTTTTTTTGTATTTTCTATTCTTGTTCCACATTTAAAACTTTTATGGTAGAAATAATTTTGTATTACAACACGAATAATTTAAACTTTACTTAAATCTAAGTTTATATTGTCAGAATTGAAGTATTGTCTTTATTTTGACATACCTATTCATTACGTTTTAGTATACACATAATTTGCGATTGACACCTTAAATTAATCTACAGTTAAGCACGATTTCTGTGTTAAGCTGGCCAAAGTCGTTTTTCTGCAAAATTGAGATCTTTTATTTATTAAATATTATACTTATATTAGTAGTAAGACTAATGATCATAATAATCACAATATACAACAAAAATAAGATCATTTAGTACAGATTCATTCAAAATTATTGTCTGAATTCTAAGATAAATCCGTGTTCCCTACGTCTTGACAAAAGTTTTATTAGTATATAAAACAGCAATCTTGCTTTATATATCAAAAAGAACTATTAATATATTGTTTCTGTTTTTAACAACAAACATGTAGATAAGAATCGTTTTCGAATTTTATTTTAAATAGTTATTGGCATCTAGAGCAAATGTCATTCACGGTAAGCCCGATGTACTTGCAAGCACTTTACAGTTCATTCTCACCAGGATAGCCCGAGCTGTAGATCGTAGCATCTCCTAGTGGGCACTGGCATAGCTACTGGTTTTTACGTCTACTTGGTAGACTGCTGTTGCGGTAAGCTTTCCTTAAAAGAATATTGTCAACTGCGGGAAGTAATAAATATCTCTTTGACGTCTGGTATGGGACCTTCAAAGACCTAAAATAGTAAAATTTTGGAGTTTCTTTGCTACTAGATTGCCAACGATTCTTAGCAAATGTTTCTATGTGGTTGTTAGATGGAATAAAAGGTGGCGAGGGCAGAGGACTGATGTTTGGAAAGTCATTGTTCAGCGGTCGGTGGAGGATCCTGCCGGTCGGGTGCGAGTTAGAAGGTACTGGCGGCGACGATATGTCGGCGTTGTCTGAATCGATTGTTGAGTCAGCTTCGGCACCAGAGATATATTCCCTGTCAACAATATGCGCCTTTTTAGTACCTTTAAAATATGTAGTACTAGCAAAATTTACAATAATGCAATTTGAAAAATAATAATGACAAGATAAAAGTTGAAGATATATTAAATTTTAACAAAAATCGTCGTATTGTACTTGGCATTTTAATGTTGTCAGTTAATCTTTAGCTTTATTTTACGTAGATTAAAATAAATCTCACATCCATAAGACTGTAAGCGAATGCAGCTTTATACACCCGAATTACTGTATGACACAAAGATTGGATTTGGAACTATTTTGTAAGTAATTATTTTGTAGCTTAACATTTTAGCACTTAACTTTTGCTTTTTTTAAATGCAATATCTTCTCAATGTAATATTTTTTAATGGGTCATCAACCAACCAACCATATTTTTAAAAAGTTACCTAGCTACAGTGTGTGCTGTTGTTTATAACTTTGTAATTTTTTAAATTATTTCGGCATTTCTTTCATAAATATAATAAAATATTATTAAACACGTAACACACATACACACACTTTACGACCTTTACAAAATATATAAGATTGTGAAACTTACCTAATTCCGAAATTCTTGTCAGAGGAATGCTGCCTGTAATCATAAATGCTCTTTAAAAATCTTTCAATTTAAAAAAAAATAGAACGATGATTTTCAACATCTATTTTTTTTCTAACAAATAGATTGAGTATAATACTCATTGCATTCATGCCTCAGTGGTAACCGTCTAGTTAACTCTAAACAAAGACATGCGAAGTGAAACATTTGACGTGATTCTTTGTGTAGGTGTCTTCACAAGTCAAAACTTACTCAAAAGCATCATCACTACGCTTCGGACACATCCATGACTTATTGAACTAAAAGACAATTACATGCGATATAGTTGACCTTTGGTTTTTCCATAACCACCCCCAAAATTATTTCTACGGCTTTTGACACATCAAATTTAATTATTCTAACATGAATGCATCTAATATTTATCTATATATTGGCCTAGAACATACAAACACAAATAGCGGCCAAGTTTCTACTTAAATACACATTGATTGAACATTAGTACGAAACCTGTATAAATCATGACTAGGCCATAGAAGTCTAGCTCGTCCTGATCTACTATAACGTCCACCTGAATACCTAAATGAAGGTAATAGACCTAACCGAGCAAGGGAACCAATGTGACGTTTTTCAAAATTAATGCGAACTGCGTCATCTGTAAAAAAATAACAAAAACACTATTACGTCCACGAACGCTTTTACCCTTTTGACTAACACTAGTAATTGAAGTAGTAAGGAGCGTTTCGCATATACAATATTTAAACGTTTTCAACTTAGAAACCTTTTAATATTGTGAGCGCATCCATATCCTGTGAAATCGACAATGCTGCGGTGTTTACTTACCTACGGATCGTTTATCTCCTTCAATCTCATTCTGATCTTCGCTTTCATCCACATCTGCCTCAGGGAACGTCATCACGTATCTTTTATTACTTGGATTCTGTTCAAAGTAATTTGGTCTATAGAGCCCATGATTAGGTAGACCAGCAAAAGTTCTCTTAAAGTTCGAGTTATCCGTATCTTTAGGTACATAATTGTCATAGTACGGTTCATACGCACTACGTTTATACAATTGCGACATAGCAGGGAACATATCCGGATTTACCGATTGCTGATAATCGTATATTTCATTAGCATCTAACGGACGATCTATTTCGGACAGAGGCGGGATGGAATTTTGATAAAACGGAAAGTAGTATTCGTCCTCATTTGCCTCATCTTTCTTATGGATCATTAATCCGTTACGTGCCAAAGAAGCAATGTTCCTTTTGTCATTTGAAGGGTTATATTGTCCTCTGCCTACGCGGTATCCATCTCTAGCCAGAGCCTGTATATTCCTCTTCATGGCAGCATAACTCCGAAGTCGAGCAATTGAAGCCACATTTCTTTTCTCTTGTGATTCATCTTGATTAGGGTCTTGTTTTTCAGCTTCCACATAAGGTGATCTGTATGTAGGCAATAATCCATTTTTGGCAAGCGTAGAAATACCTCGCTTGTAACTTGATTTAGATGCCGCATTTCTCAGATAGCCATCCCTAGCTAAAGCCGCAATGTTCCTCCTGGGAAATGAGGGCCATTGGCTAATAGAATCAGCTGGTAGGCTCGCAACCTAATCAAAAAGCAAAGAAATGACATTATAACAAATAAATAAAGAAGAAGTATTTGAAAACAAATATTTCTGTACCTTATGATGATAATCATGAATAAATTAAAACTAATGTAAAAACCTGCTCTAAAAAAATTACCATACATTATGTGCAACCGGTTATTTTCGAATTTATACAAATATTTTTGATGGTGCTACTGTAACAATAACTGTTTTATTTAAGTGAAATACCTGCTCAATATAAGTAGATAATGTCACGGCTAAAACAGCCACAAGAAGAAGGCATCTGCGATGCCTCCTGATGTTCATCCTTGCATTGCTCATCTAAGAAACATAAAAAACCAGTGAGGATCGTGATCTCAGAAGCTAATCAGTCGCCTTCCCTGCAGGGAATAATTATATTCTGCGTCTGTAAGATGACCAGCTACTATCACTTATATTTACTCAGCTATTTAAAGGCAAGAGCAAAAAATAGTATCTATAGTCAACTATCCATAAAATTGATTAACTTGAACTTCAGACTAATACCATTTGGGTACTTTCACGACAGAAACTTCAAAAGTAGGAGAAACTGATAGTTTGTCATGTTGAATCTTTCACGAGTATATTGATTATCCATAGTACAAACAACCGGTAGTTCAGGACTGAGTTCAGATAATGGCCTGTCGCTTGGGAGGATATAAAGTTGGCAGATTCAATTACGTGAGGTTTCTGTTGTTGTAACGCACCTGAGGATAATGTAGTAATTCAAAGCTGCAAGTGCCCAGTTATTTAAAAGAATATCATCTGTTTAGAAATAGAACAATCCTGTTTGCGAAGGAGTTAATCCGGGCAGAATTCATATTTCCGCAAATTGTTTACCCGTAAAACGTTTAGGAAAATTCTCAAACATTATTGCATGAATTTTGCCGACTATATTAAAAAAATAAAAAATTTTTTTTAGCACTGGTCTCAAGCGTGTTGAGTAGGATCGTCAGAAAAGCAAAAGAAGACGGCGAAAGCAGCCTGACTTCTCTGGACTTTTGGCAGTAGACACCACATACAATTTCACAGACAATCACTAATGAAGTGTGGCACGATGATCAAACATGACGCTCGTGAAAAAATACAGCGTGGTTACATTCAAATTAGAAAACACTTTTTTATTTTAAAAGACAATTCCTGCAGTAGGAATATATTCTGTATCGAGGGGGACTTTATAAATGTTTATAAAACGGACAGAAAGAACACCCAGACTCACACAAAGTGTTGTGGGGATCGAATCCACAACACTCAGCGCAGTAGAAAGCGGCGAGGTGACTGCTTAAACCACTACGCCATCCGTGCAGTCAGAAAGAAACACACAGAAACGCATACTCAAGAAAGTAGTCTCTTTTAAACACAAAAAAAAAACGGTCAGGTACGAGTCGAACTCGTGCGCTGAGGGTTTCGTACCAAAATTTATCTTAATTTTCAACTTTTTTGATTTTTTATAATTATTCTTTTATTTGTTTTTTTTTGTTAAATTTCGTCTAGGTCAACGGGAACTTTAGGTTGTCGACCCAAAACCGGGTACTTCCGGTTGACCTAGAATTGTCAATTTTAGTTAAAAGCAAGGTCTTACAGCGCAAGTAAAGAGAAAATTCTGAAAAATATAAAATGTTGGAAATTAAGGTAAATTTTGGTACTTACAAGTTTTCGCGAAAATCGAAATTTGCTCATATCTTTTTATCGTGTTGACTCAGGACCTTGATTTTTATACACTTAATAAGGACCATAGACCTCAGTATCTGGTATAAATTTGACCTTGCTAGGTATACCCGTTCCTGAGAAAAGTGGTGGTGACATACGGACAGACAGATAAGAAAGTGATCTTGTAAGGGTTCCTTTTTTACCTTTTGAGGTACTAAATTCGAGAAATTGCCTTGCGTTATCTTATGATTTTCTCAACAACTTATTTATACAGACTTTTTGTCTGTGGAACGGGTTATCGTCTGCGGTATTTCCGGACCAATACGACCTTCAAACCTTCAAGAAAAGAGCGTACTCCTTCCTAAAAGGCAGGCTGAGTTGCAGACGTTCATGGGTGGCGATGATCACTTTCCATCAGGTGACCCGTCTGCTCGTCTGCCCCTCTAACATAAAAAAAAACTACCTCTAAGGCAGCGCTGTTCAAATCCAGTCCGTCCGTCCGTCCAAAGTAATTAAAATTGAGACAAATCACATTCCATGCTTAAAATAGTTGTAACCAACAAATTATTCCTAAATTAAAACATAAACATTTCAAAATCACAAATTACATAGCATTTACTACGAAGTCAATAGCATAGTCAAAAAAATTGTCACAACATAAAATCTTATAATTGGAGCTTTTCTCGACAATAGAAGAAAGTGTTCACAAAAAACAATATCTTTGTGTACGGAATGCTTTACACTAAAAGAAATGAGAACGGCTTGAAACGCCCTGTAAGCACAGTTAGAAGACACTTTTTGAAATTAATTCTCGGCCCACTAAACACCTAAAGGGCTACAGTTTCAGCTTTATTATTTTGTTTATTTGTTATAAAGTACTTTGTTGTAAACTTTTTTAACTTTATTTGATGTACAGTACTTTGTTGTAAAAAAATATCGTCTCGATTTCACTCATTATAAATTTGAATAGAAGCATTAAACGAATTTGAATAAAACTGTGAACCAATTTTAGGGTCACCCATGCCGCTGCGGCAGGTCACCACTCTTCTTGACAAAGGACCCTCATTGGGTACGCAACTCAGATAGACTCACACCTATATTTCCGAAAGGGGTTGTCAAAAGCCTTTAAAATGCTCGCATTTTGGCAACTATAATTTTAGTCAAGGGGGCAAGCCTAGTGTATATGCATCAACAGTCTCTGATACCCATTTGAATAAAGTTAGTCGAAGTAATATACTTTGTTTCCCCACTTATTTGTATAAAGTAATTTTGTTTTTATTAGTTGGACAAAGGTAAACGCACTGCATTTCAGTGACAGTGCACAGATGAGCTACATAAACTAGTATGCATAGGATTGTATCGTCAATGTCGATCATGCGCTTCTAATACTATCTCAGTCTATCTCTCAGTAACGTCACATAAAATATAAATTTATATGAAGAACGTTCAGGGACAACACCTAGCTAACTTACTATCGATATCTCGATGGTAAAGTTCAATCGTCTAGGTATCTCAATTATAGATATCTCAATTATATGGATTACCTCATCTGGTCATGGGTACGAGTCACTTTAACATCATTATTGCCATTTACATACTAGAACCGTAATCGAATAACTACGCTGCGTATATGGTTATTAGTTTCATCAGAAAATAATGCGCATCACAGGGAATAAAGTCGACGGATGATGTTTAAATCACTGACAAATGAATTAAGCTGAACTTTGAAATGATTTACTGAAATAGTTCAGAACATGGTTCGTGTTCCAAGGCATAATTCTGAATTTAATTTAGTAAAATGAAATATATAATGAAATATAAATACATATATACTCTTTATTGCACGCCAAAAAAGTATTGATATCGAGGTAATATTAGTTGCAAAAGATTTAGCCTAATCTATATTTTAAATGTATGTATTTTTTATTTAGTTTTTTTATAAATTACTAATTTTTTTTCTTTTAGCAAAATGGTGTCTTGACAGTGTTCGACGATTCATGACTGAAATGCAAGATGGCAATTCATACTGCTTTTTATTTTTATTTTCATAGTAAATTAATTATTAATTAAATAAGGCGGTGAATAACAACTTTGAGAACGGATGTAACCAATTTTAAAGTTAATTTTCAGAAGTAGTTTATGTTCTTTCCCAAGTCTCCGGCATCTTAATTATAAATTACAATATTTATTAGGCCCGATCAGTCAGATGTTTATTTGGATTAAGTTCCTATTAGAAACTTGATAAATATCATTGGATTTTTTCAAATTTTTAATCAATAATGATTATGTAGTAACCACTTAAAGTAGGAATAAAGGTAAAATTTTAACCTCTTCAAATTGATGACTTATATGTTAGTTAATACAGTATCGTAATCGATAAAAAATAAAAAGTTCCACGCAAGCTTAGAACATTTATAACTAGTTCGTGGAAACATGTTATCAATATTTTTTGCGGGACTGTTGCTACATTTTTATTTTGTCAATTAGTTTTATGTACGTACCGCATTAAATACATTTTAATTTCACGTACGGTATTAATAATGCCTTAGGTCCTTTGGGCCTTTTTTTACTATAAGCACAAAAGTGTTAGCAAAAGTAGTTTAAAACAGTTAAAATTCCGCTGGCAGAACTTATTGCATCGAGGAAAAGTACTCAGTATTTATTCCTTAGTAATTTAGAATAGGTACTTACGATGATTAGCTTCTCGCCCAGCCACAATGCACTTTTTTAAAGATTCAAGCAAGTTGGAACCAAACACTTTATTTGCTTTGATTAGTTTACTGGGTGATCTTGGCGGGAATGAAAATTAGAGAGCTGCTACACAGCTTTTATAGATAGCGACATTTGAACTGCGCATGTGCGGAGGAGGAGCTTACACTTACACAAATTTTCAGTTTATTTGATATTTAAAAGGTCAGAATGTTATATGAATTAATCCTTACTTTTGCATTATATTAATGTTTTAAAAAAAATATCGACTTTTTTTCTGTTTCTTAAATACTGCCAATATTGTTTGACGGCTATAATTAATCTAAAACCTTCATTTGAAATTTGAACTTTTAGGTATTAAGAAATAATATTTGCTTTTGTTTTTTGTTTTTTTTTTGACTATAGAACACTAAACACGGTAAGATAGGAAAGACAATAATTATGTTGTATGCATAACTTGAGGTAATTGTAAACCAATTCGCAACAATCAAACTCCATTGATTTAATTAACTCCTTCTATGCAAACAAACAAGATTTTAACAGGGGGAGAAAGTTCAACTAGGTTTTCAGCAAAAATATAATGTAGTCGTATAATGAGTAGAAAATAGTTATCTGCTTTGTTTGTGTCAAAAAAGTGGTGACAGGAAATGCTTGCTAGTGGTTACTGCCTCTTTTTAAACGTTCCTCCAAAAACACACATTAAAAAAAAAGAAAGAAGAAACTTAAAATGAAAAAAAATTAAAAATTAAAAAGTTTTAATTGCTTCGTGAATCTTTCTTAATGTACGGTTTATCGGTTTCTATGATGCCGGTTGATGTCTCAATTTCTCCAACTCCACTTATTAATTCTGAAGTTGTTTCATGTCTGTAAACTTTCATCTGCAACCGTTATTTCGGGGGTAAATTTTCCTCTGTTGAATTCGTGGTTCT